AAGATCTGGATTGCCATCAGAGTCTGAATCATCAGAGTCTGGGTCATCAGAGTCACCTTCATCTTCTGAGTCATCTTCAGAGTTTGAATCAGTATCAGAGTCAGAGTCAATATCAGGGTTTACTTCAACTTCAGAAATTCTTAACTCTGGCCTTTCTTCAGAGGTTCTAACATCAGAATCAGATTGAGACTTATCCCAATTCCAAACTTCTGATTCCTTCACAATCACATCTCTGCTGAATTCAATTTTATTGGTTTCTGGACAATAGAGCTTGTATGCACCTGTACTGTGGTACCCTATCAGAATCATCACTTTGCTTCTATCATCCAGCTTCTGTCTTATGGCTTCTGGAACATGTTTATAGCAAACAGAACCAAACACCTTCAGATGACTAACACTTTGCATGTCTCCAGTCCACTTCTGCATAGGAACTATTTCCTTCAACTTCTTCGTAGGACACCTGTTGAGTACATACGTTGCAGTGGCAACAGCTTCTCCCCAGAGCTTCTGAGGAAGCTTCTTCTCCTTTAGCATGCTTCTCACCATATCAAGCAAAGTACGGTTTCTTCTTTCAGCAAGACCATTGTGTTGAGGGGTATAAGGAGCAGTAACCTCATGCTCAATTCCATTCTCCTCACAGAACTTCTGGAACTCTTTGGAGTTATACTCACCTCCACCATCAGTTCTAAGAATCTTCAACTTCTGACCACTCTGATTCTCAGCCTTCATTCTGAACTTCTTGAATTCATCAAACACCTCGTGTTTGAACTTAATAAGGGATACCCATGTCATTCTTGTGAATTCATCAACAAACAACACAAAGTATTTATTCCCTCCAATTGATGCTACTGGAAATGGACCACACACATCAGAGTGTACAACTCCCAAGGCATGTTTTGCTCTTGGAGCAACTTCTGATGCAAATGGCAATCTTGGTTGTTTTCCTTCCATGCAAACTTTGCATGACTTTTCAGGCTTCTTAATTGCAGGAATTCCATGTACCAATTTCTTTGAATTCAGATGTTGTAAGCTTCTGAAATTCAAATGACCAAATCTTCTGTGCCACAGCTCACTCTCCTTCTCAGTACTTGTTGCACTAAGACACTCTGAGTCTGCAGTTCTGACATTCACCTTGAATGTTCTATTCCTTCCCTGTTCTGACTCCATAATCAACTTCTGATTACAGTCATACAACTTCAGAAGATTGTCCTTCATGGTAACTGAGAAACCTTTCTCAATTAATTGTCCCACACTCATCAGATTGCTTCTGATGCCAGGTACATACCACACATTCTGAATCAATGCTATTTTCCCATTGTTCAGAGTCACTCTGACATTTCCCATACCTTCTGCATTAAGATATTTGTCATCAGCACATCTGATCTTTGTTCTCTTTTCAGAGTCAAAGTCAACCAGCCATTTCTTGTTTCCAGTAAGATGATTTGAACAGCCAGTGTCCATATACCACCAGTCTGTCAGATCATCAGATTCAGAGGCCATCAATAGCACAGATTCGTCATCAGAACTTCTGGCTATATTTGCTTCTTCTGATTTCTTCTCCTTGTTTGACCAACAATCTCTAGCAAAGTGACCAAACTTCTTACAACAGTAACATTGGATCTTCTTCTTGTCATACTTCTCTTTTCCCTTCTGAGCATTCTTTTGTCTATCAGGGGTTGAGGTTTCTGACTTCTGACCACCATCAGATCTTCTCTTGGCTTCTGACTGCTTCTGATACCTCCTATCAGAAGTTGCTTTCAGAGCCTGCTGCTCTACTTCCCTTTCAGAAGTTCTCTCAGTCAAACGTAACTCTTGCGCTTCTAAACTGCTCTGCAGCTCTTCAATTCTCATGGTACTCAGATCTTTGGAATGTTCTATTGCTACCACAATGTAATCAAATTGAGAGGTAAGGGATCTCAATACTTTCTCCATGATTGTTTCTTCAGAAAGAGTTTCTCCACATGCCTTCATCTCATTAGTGATCAGAATCACTCTGGAGATGTATTCAGAAAATTTCTCATTATTCTTCATGTTGAGATTCTCATATTGCTTTCTCAAGGACTGAAGCTTCACCTTCTTCACTGATGCGTCGCCACCATAACATCTCACCAGAGTGTCCCATGCAGCCTTTGCTGTTGTAGAGTCTGCAATCTTCTCAAACACGTTTACATCCACACATTGATGAATGAAGAACAATGCTTTCTGATCCTTCTTCCTTACTTCCTTCTGCGCGTTTTTCTGTTCATCAGTTGCATCTGCTGCTACTGGAACATAACCATCAGTGACAAGATCTAGAACATCTTGAGCACCAAATAGTACACGCATTTGGATCATCCAACGATTCCAGTTTTTACCATCAAATACTGGAAGTTTGGTGTTCATGTTGCCGTTTCCGTTCATCTTCTACTTTGCACAATACACTCAGATTTCTCACACAGTGTTTCCCAACCCACAGAATAAAATTCTGATCAGATTTTGTTCAAGATTCAACACGAATCTAAGAATCAAAATCAAACACACAAGACCTCACGTTCACTCGTGTTTCCCGTGTTTCCCAATGAATCTGAACCGGAGCTCTAGATACCAATTGTTGGTGCAAAGATAGAATAAAATGATGAAAATAGGGAAATATTCTATTAAAGAGAATGACGGCAGAAGAAACAGGATTAAAAGTTACAATGATTGTCACCCTATTTATAAGCTAAAACTAGGGTTACTAGAATAAGATAAAATACTAAAATACCCTCTAACAGACTTAGGGGCTAAGAAAATAGTACAACTAAATAAATATGAATTACTATTAATATTCTAATACCTCTGAGAATTTGTATATGCCATTGAAACAACACGCCTGATCGTTAAGATCCTCCATTACCAAACCACTTAAATGATTAATAGAGAAAAGAAGTATGTGATGCTAATGTCTAGATTTTCTCTCCACGACAGAGCCATACCCATTTCTTTTTCTCTCCCAATCCCACTACATTCAACTACTTGAAAGTATTTGAATACACTCTTTTGCTTAATAATCTTAAACTCTTCATGCTTGATACAAGTTTCCATGAGGAACACCAAGTTAGGATTTTCCAAACGAATGAGCTTTAATAAGGATCGAACTACGCAAGGATTCCCCAACTCCCTGTTGTTCCAACTTAGAAGTTTTATTGTGATGCTAACACCACCTCTCTTTCTCTCCACTCCCAAAATCTGCAGGTGTTCATTCAATGATCATCACATCCATCAATGGTCTTTTCCCATCTTGCACCTCCAATTGTTTTGTTTGATTTGGACCCACCTTTCTTCCAACCTTCCACCTTGTCCATTTATTTCATTTGGTGAATGTTCCTTATGATTCCGGACCTATTCCTTTTTCCGTATTAGAAATATCCATCACACCAAGGATTTAACAACCAACTCTACCTTCATGATGTTACTTTTTTGAATTACCTATTTTGTATCAATTATATATCCTGACGGTATTCCATTTCCTTTGTTTTTATCAACTTCCACGTACCTTTCTTTCTCCTTTCCTTTTGTGTTATACCTACTTTGAAGTTATGAGATGTTGAATAAGCTCCTAATGCACGTTCTAGAGTTGGAACTTTTTTTCTTTGTTCCTCTGAAACTCTTGGAATCAAGGAGGTTCTGAGCCAAAACCCATACGACAACTCTTGCTCGTCTATGTTATCAAACCCTTCTTCTCTCAAATCACTTAACGCCTCTCAATCCTTTAGTTGATGCCCCAATCATCCACAGGATAATAAGTATGAAGACACTCATATTTGAAATGAACCCAAAGATTTTTCTCTTTGAACCTCACCATTGTTCCTCGCTTCAATGGTTGTTTCAGATCCATTATCACTTTTATTCCGAGAAAACGACCATCTTTGTGGGCTTCCTTCTGGTCCATCTCCTAAAAAGACCCTAAGATCCCTCTAATTTTCTCCCCATGGTTTCAGATCTGAGCATTAAAGGTAGCTCATAGCTCATAGTTCCTCACTTAGAAAACACCAAAATGCATGTTAAGATCAAAGGGTTATTCTTTGGTTTTAGCACGAGCAAGGACTAATAAATTCCTATAAAAATTCCAAGGTTCGTTCTATAACACTCTCCAAGTCTCGTTTGTCACAAATCTAAACATAAAGAGATGTTTGCTCAACTGCTAAGTTTCCACCAAATTTTTGAGTTTCGACGCTCCGATCATTGTACTCGTGAAAGCTCTTTCTTTAAAACTATTTCCAGTCAATAGTTTACCTACTAATATTCTTTGAAAAATATCTTCTCAACTAACCTCCTTTACCGCCACCATTACACTTTCCTCTTCCTCTTTTGAGAGTGAAATGTTCTTCCATTTTTCTATTATAACAACCTACCCAGCAAAAAGAAATAAAAAAAACCAACTGCTTCTACTTGAGAAGAATAGAAGTCCAAAAGAAATTTTGGGATAGACTAGATGAAAGTGGAGAATAAGAACAAAAGTGCCACCCTAAACCCTAAATTAAAAGGGGAATGGAAAGAACACGTTAATATATATATATATATATATATATATATATATATATATATATATATATATATATATATATATATATATATATATATATATATATATATATATATATATATATATATATATATATATATATATATATATAGTTTGACTTCTCTACAAAATGTGGAGCAGCTCAATTATGAAATTAATATTGTATTAGCGTGATTTATCTAATAGAGAGTTGGTAAAAAATATTTGGTCCCTATCATATAAAAATAAAACTTTGTTGATATTTTAGTTTTGCATAATGCAATTGTATATATATAACTTACTAGAAGGGTTTTATTTAATTTGTATTTTCATTTTCAAAAAAAAAGAAAAATATATATATATATAATTTTTATCAATCGAATGTGAAATAAATTTAATATAACAGAGATAAACAAAATATAAAGTTTTATTATTATGCATTCAAGGACTAAATTGTAAACAAGGTATAACACTTTTTTTACAATTTAGTACAATCAGTAGACTTAAATGATACAGTATTTCGTTGAAGATCATAACCAACCAATAAATTCTGTTGTGCCAAGTTTCCGAAGACGCCAGTGCCATCTTGAGATGGGGCAAACGCCAAACAAACAACCCCATCAGCAACTGGAATAAAAGTGCTGATAGAACTCAACAAAACATCTGCACCCTTAAAATGTGCCGTGATTTTAGGAAACACATATTTATTTGATTTATCAGAATAACAAAGACTCAAAATTTTATTTGGATCCTTCACACGCTTCAGTTTAACCAATGCTATCAGAGTTGATTCCACATTTTTATAAATATCGGATGGTAAAATCGTCAATGTTGTACCCGAATCAATTATGAAGTTCCCCTCAACTGGCGGTTTAGAAAATCCTATTCTTTTGTTTCCAACACTAAATGCATTTAGTGTTACAAAGTAAAATACTGGTGGAGATTTTTTCACTATCGGAGTTGAGACCACCCCTCGACCAGAAACCACTGCAGCATCTCCAAAATTGAGTTTGCTGGTTGAGTTAGACATTGATGGTGCAAAGCAATAAGAGAATTTTCCACCAGTTGATGAACCCAACTGTGTTAGGAGAGATATTGGTCCACCTCCGATACCAACTACACCAGAGTTCCTACCTGGAAAAGTCATTGTGTTTTTATGTCCACATCCTATTACAAAATTGGGAAATGAAATAGAATGGCCAGAGGTGGAATCCAATGTAAGAGTCTCCACAGCAAGATCTCCTTCTGATACCGTTCCACCAACATAATCAATAGAATATTCACAAGAATTGTTTCTATTGCAAGAATGAAAACCCACAGATTTACATTGCTTAGATGAACAAGGAAGGTTTTTATAACTTTTAGACTTTGAAGGATCAAAAACCGGAGTGGCTTGTTTGTAACATTGTTTACATGGCTGACATTGAAGCCAAACAATATCACTACCTGTATCAATAATACCATATATTTTGACTGGTGGGGTACCTAATGAATATGTTATAATATATTCACCTAAATCGGGGATAACAGTAGATCTGGGTATATTAGGGAGAGAATTTATGTATGAAAGATGGTTGATGGAACGTTGAATAGCATTGACAACATGTTGGTATTTGTTTTGTGTAGGTTGATAGAGTGGTGAATTCAAAGAATCACGGTGAATGAGTTCAACGCTAAAACCATTACTTAAAGCATGAGAAAAAGAAATGATGAAGCATAAAAGAGAAAAGAAAACAAGAGTTTGAAAATAATACCTACTCATTGTTACCGTCACAAAGAAATATAGAACTTGTTATCACTGGTATGTTCTTCATGCTCTATTTATAAGACTTTTATAGTACTTTATAACCATCAATTATATTATGATAGTCAAAATTTGAGCACAAAAGTCATATTATCTTTAATCTTTAATATAAAAAAATTTAAATTTGTTGAAAATTAATATATCTGAGTTGTATATAGTTTATATATATTAATTATTTAATAAATTTAAAAATAAAATTTTAAAAAAAATTACTTTTTAAATTCGTAATTAATATACCAGTATTATATATAATAGTATCAATAGTATAGATACATAAATTGTTCAATCAATTTAAAAAATAAATATTTTATATATTAAATTGTTGTAGAAAAATTTAATATGAAAAATAAAATATTTTATACTTATATATTATATTATATTATATTATATAAAGTAAAGTTTACGTAAATATGAAAACTTACGATCAATGTTTTAAAACCGGACCGAACCGAATGGTTCAACCGGTTGGTCTGCGAATCAGAGATAAATCTGGTTGGGTCAATTTTTTAAATTTTTCCGTAAGTTAAAACCAGAGTAAAATCAAAAAAATCATATTGAACCGTCCAAAATCATTCGAATCAAATAATCATAGTCGGTTTTGTAAAACTGTCTGGTTCAAAAAAATGCATCGAATTGGTAATTTTAAAATTTTTTATTTTAAATTTTAATATGTTAATATCAAAACTTATCATACATTCCTCAATTACAAAAAAGAATTTTGTATATTTTTTACCACTAAATAAACTTTTATGTTTTATCACTACATTATATTTTTTCTTTCAACTACACACTTTCATCATCATGCCGTCTCTTTTAAGCATAATCACAATTTTCAACTCAACATTAATTTTCGTTCATGTTAATATTGTTTGTTGTTGTCAATTAAGATCTATTTGTCATAGTTTAACTCAAATTTAATTTTTCATTGTTTAATAAAATATATTATATTATTTATATTTTGATATTCTATCTTATTTAATTTATATATTTTTTATTATTTGAATTTTATTTTAGTTATTATATTTTATTATTTTAATTTTAGTTTGAATTAGTTTAATTTGTTTTATTGTAATTTTTTAGTTTGGTCAAAATATTTTTAAATGATAGTTGAAATGAAGTGAAGAATTATGTTATGTAGTATTGATATTGTTGTATTAAATTTGTAATAAATTTTTGAAATATTTATTTTATTAATTTGTAAATATAAAATTATGTTTGGTTTATATATGAAATTTAATTTCGTATTATTAATTTATTTAATAAATAGTTCGACGGTAAGTTTAATCAGTTTAACCAATTGAATTTTAAACCGTAAGTTTTACTAATTCAATCTCTAGTTCGGTTTTTAAAACATTGTTTACAGTGTCTCTCTCATATTTATATAAATTCTATTTAATTAATTTTTTTTTTCTCTTTTTAGTCAAAATAAACTTTTTATTTCAATCTCTTTTTACTTTAATTACAATGAAATTAAAAAATATATATTAAAAACTACTTTAAAAAATTTGTATATAAAAAATAGTTGTTACGAAATAAAGGTGGTCATACATTATTATTTTATTATGTATTCAAAGGAATTTAATAAATGAATTATATACTAAGAGTTCATTGATAAGAATGAAAAAAATATAGAAACAGAAGAACATAAAAGTGATCTAAAACTGAAAGTCAAATTAAAAATAATAATTAAAAAAAGCAAATTACGTCAATATTCTTGAACCAATATTGTATAACTGAAATCTCTTTAATGATTTTTTTTTCTTTTTTAATTTTAGTTTGTTTTTTTTTCAATTTTTTTATTATAAAAAAAGTCATTTGAACGAGTGTCATAATTAGGTATTTAAAGACTAACAGCTTACTTGTTATTAAAGTTATATTAAAAAACATTATCTTTCTTTGATTTATTGTAATTGTTTTGTTAAAAACATATATAATTTTATTAAAAATTTATTGTTGAACTTTATTTGATAATAATATATGAAAAATTTAGTTTTATGTTTATTTTTATTTTTATTAAGGCGTTAGGTTTAAGAGATTGTTGAACTATTTGACATAATTCTAATCTAACATAATATTTATAAGGTATCATAACTTTTCTAACAAATTCAACTATACTAATTTTTTTAACTCAAGAAAAATTAATTAAAGAAGTCATGTATAGAAAAAGAGGATGATCCTTTGTAAAAAAAATTGAGATGGAAACTTTGATATAATTAGATTTTTGGTAGTTTTATAGTTGATTTTCTTGTTGAAATATCATTGGTTTCTTGCAAACCAAATGACATGGAGATGATTTTTTATGGAATTCAGGACCACCACTTTGCACTGAGGATTTCAATTTCTTTTAACAACATGAGAAATATCTCGAGCATTGTTGAAGTGTAAATTGATGCCAGTAGCGGAAGAAAGCCAAAACCACAACTACACTACAAAGGGACAGTCGAATAAAAGTTGAAAGGTTCTCTCAGTGTTTTAAAGTAGGGTGTTCATCAAGTGATTTTAAATACAATAAGAGAGGTGACTTTGGGTTATTTTGTTTTTAAATGTTTTTTCTTTTCAAAATGATTGATTTTAAGAGATGAGAATAATAAGAGTTTAAGCATAAAAAATAAAAAAATGAAATAGTGAAAGGGTAAAGATCGAAAGGTCATGCCAAGATTTATATTAATTCAAACTTAAATCATGTGGCCTAATCTATTTTCAAGAGTTTTCTATTTAGATTTTCACTAAAAATATCTTACGCTATTACACCAGGATCAACTTGTTAGATTGTATGTTTTATGATTGACTGCAATTTGTTAAAACAAGTATTCTATCGAGATGTTGTACCAGATATTGTGACATGTTGGTGCGATACTGAAGCAGATCTTGTTCAAGTATTCTAGCAAGATGTCGTACCAGACGTCGTGACATGTTGGTGTGTTACTGGAGCAGATATGGTTTTGCATTTTGGAAGATTTGGTTTTATTACTGAAGATTCTTTAAAGATTTGATTCCAGTATATTACAATCCAAGGAGCGTGTGTTTTTAGATGCAAAGGACGACTTTATCTTTGCAATGTTTCCAAAAAAATGGATGACATATCATGTAAGGAAACATGAGATTTAATGAGATTTGATTTGATTTGCTTCTTTAGAAGTTTTGATTTTGATCTAAACTTTAGGAAATAATATATTATGGAGCTACATTTAATAATATATTATTTTCCAGAATATTATGTATGTGCTATTTAATTTAGTCTGATTTGCTTATCAAGTCCATACTTTTTCGAAGACTATTTATAAGAAGTCTCTAAACCTAAAGTGAAAGGGCGACAACCGTATTTTTGTAAGAGTTCCTTAGGTTTTTGTTTGTTCATTGTTGCTTATGAGCCACTCTTGTATCACCTTGATATTAGGGCTGGACTGTTTTAGTCGAATTGTAATTGTGAATCACTCATAAGCTTTTAAGCAAGAGTGCATTCTATTTCTTGAAGTGTGTCTTCTTCTTTGACTGTTTGTTTTATTATCACTGTTGTGTGATTGAGGGGGAGTGAGAGAGATCTCTTATCTAAGAGTGTCTTAGATAGAAATTGCACGGGTAGTGATTAGGTGCGAAGATTGTAAACCAGACGTTGTTTACATAAGAGCTTCAAACTAATACTATTATAGTGGATTTTCTTCCTAGCTTGGTAGCCCCTAAATGCAGGTGACGTTGCACCAAAATGGGTTAACAACCACCTTGTGTTATTTACTTTCTAAAATTTTGTTTAAATTTTTCATTGTTATTTCTGCTGTCACGACATCTTGACGTTGCATTCGACATTCTGGTGTCGTGACATCGTATACGACATATGTCCACTACGTGCCATAATTTCAATTGACATCGTATACGACACCATGTTCTGTTTTGGGTGAACTCCATGGAGATATTTTCTAGTACTATGGATAAGGAAGGAGGATTTGTCAACAGACCGCCTATTTTGGATGACACCAAATATGATTACTAGAAGGCGCATATGATGACTTTTTTAAAGTCTATGGATAGCAAAACATGAAAAGCAGTTATCAAAGGTTGGCAACACCCTGTTGTGAAAGGAAAAGATGAGAAGGACACAATTGAATTAAAGCCAAAAGAGGATTGGTCTAAGGAAGAAGATGATCTTGCTCTTAGAAACTCCAAAGCTTTGAATTCCTTATTCAATGGGGTTGACAAGAACATATTCAGGTTGATAAGTACATGTAATGTGGCCAAAGATGCATGGGAAATCCTCATAACCACTCATGAAGGCACATCAAAAGTAAAGATGTCAAGACTTCAACTTCTCACCACCAAATTTGAAAATATCAGGATGAAAGATGATAAGTCCATTCATGATTTTCACATGAATATTATTGATATTTTTGATACATCTAGTGCCTTGGGAGAGAGGATGTCAGAGAAGCTGGTTAGAAAGATTCTCAAGTCGTTGCCTAAGAAGTTTGACATGAAAGTCACAACGATTGAAAAATCCCAAGATATCAGCAACATGAAAGTGGAGAAGCTTGTTGAGTCACTTCAAACTTTTGAATTGGCAATCAATGAAAGATATGAAAAGAAGAATAAGAGCATAGCTTTTATCTCCAACACTAATGATGAAGAGGTTCAATGTGACATGAAGAATAATGAAGGAATTTCGAATGCTATTGTGCTTCTTGGGAGGCAATTCAATAAGGTGCTGAAGAGTATGGATACGAAGTCAAAACCAAATGTCAAGAACATGCCATTCGACATCAGAAAGTACAATGATTTTCAGAAAGAAAAAAGAAAGAAAACAGGAGAAGCCCAATACAAGAAACAATATTCATTGTCATGAATATAAGGGTTTTGGTCACATTAGATCAGAATGTCCCACGTACCTCAAGAAACAAAAGAATGGCATGTCTATTTTTTGGTCTGATGATGATTCTAAAAGTGAACCTGATGTTGAAATTGCTAAG